GTTGGAGCAGGTTTTTTTGTGGCTTCAGTTGTTGTCGGGGTAGGTGTTGTTGCCTCAGTTGTTGGAGCAGATGACGTCATTGCTTCAATCATTGGAGCAGGTGTTGTTGTTGCTTCAGTTGTTGGTGGGGCAGGTGTCGTTGTTGCTGCAGTTGTTGGAGCAAGCGTTGTTGTTGCTTCGTTTGTTGTCGGAGCAGGTGTCGCTGTTGATTCACTTGTTGTCGGGGCCGGTGTCGTCTCAGTGGTTGGTGCAGGTGTCGTCGTTGCTTCAGTTGTTGGAGAAAATGTCGTTGTTGCTTCAGTTGTTGGAGCATGTGTCATCCTTCCCTCAGATGTTGGAGCAGGTGTCATCGTTTCTTCAGTTGTTGGAGCACTTGTAGTTCTTACTTCAGTTGCTGTTGGGGCAGGGGTCGTTGTTGCTTCAGTTGCTGGAGAAGATGTCGTTGTTGCGTCATTTGTTGTTGGCGAAGGTGTCGTTATTGCCTCAGTTGTTAGAGCAGGTGTTGTTTCTTCAGATGTTGGAGCAGTTGTACTTGATTCAGTTGTTGTCATGGCAGGTGTCATCGTTGCTTCAGTTGTTGGAGCTGGTGTTGTTGTTACTTCAGTTGTTGTTGGGGCAGGGGTCGTTGTTGCCTCAGTTGTTGGAGCTGCTTTTGTTGTGGCTTCAGTTGTTGTCGTGGTTGCCTGAGTTGGAGCAGGTATTTTTGTTGCCTCAGTTGTTGGAGCAGTTGTAGTTGTTTCCTCAGTTGTTGTTGGGGCAGGGGTCGTTGTTGACTCAGTTGTTGGAGCAGGTGTCGTTTCTTCTGTTGTTGGAGCAGTTGTACTTGATTCAGTTGGTGTCATGGCAGATGTCATCGTTGTTTCAATTGTTGGAGTTGCCGTCGTTGTTGCTTCAGTTGTTGTTGGGGCAGGGGTCGTTGTTGACTCAGTTGCTGGAGCAGGTGTCGTTGTTTCATCATTGGTTGTCGGGGCAGGGGTCGTTGTTGACTCAGTTGCTGGAGCAGGTGTTGTTTCTTCAGTTGTTGGAGCTTCTGTCGTTGTTACCTCATTTGTTGTCAAGGCAGGTGTAGTTGTTGTCTCAGTTGTTGAAGAAGATGTCGTTGTTGCTTCATTTGTTGTCGGCGAAGGTGTCGTTGCTTCAGTTGTTGGAGCTGGTGTCGTTGTTTCTTCAGTTGTTGTCGGGGAAGGTGTCATGGTTGCCTCAGTTGGAGCAAGTATTTTTGTTGCCTCAGTTGTTGGAGCAGTTGTAGTTGTTTTCTCAGTTGTTGTCAGGGCAGGTGTAGTTGTTGTCTCAGATGTTGGAGCAGGTGTCATTGATTCAGTTGATTTCGGGGCAGGTTTCATTGCCTCAGTTGTTGGAGCAGGTGTCATCGTTGCTTCAGTTGTTGGAGCAAGTGTCGTTTCTTCAGTTGTCGGAGCACTTGTAGTTGATTCAGTTGTTGTCGGGGAAGGTGTCATCGTTGCTTCAGTTGCTGGAGAAGATGTTGTTGCTTCAGTTTTTGTTGGGGCAGGGGTCGTTGTTGACTCAGTTGTCGGAGCAGGTGGCGTTTCTTCAGTTGTTGGAGCAGATGTCGTTGATTCAGTTGTTTGACCTGGTCTCGTTTCTTCAGTTGTTGTTGGGGCAGGTATCGCTGCCTCAGTTCTTGGGGCAGGCGTCATTTTTGCTGCAGTTGTTGTTGTTGTTTCAGTTGTTGTCGGGGCAGGTGTCGTTGCGTCAGTTGTTGGAGCAGGTGTCATTGTTGCTGCAGTTGGTGGAGCAGGTGTCGTTGTTTCTTCAATTGTTGTCGGGGCAGGTGTCGTTGTTGCCTCAGTTGTTGGAGTAAGTGTCGTCCTTTCTTCAGGTTTGGAGCAGGTGTTGTCGTTGCCTCAGTTCTTGGAGAAGATGTCACCGGTATCATTGTTGCTGCAGTTGTGGGAGCTGGTGTCATTGTTACTTCAGTTGTTGTTGGGGCAGGGGTCGTTGTTGACTCAGTTGCTGGAGCAGGTGTCGGTGTTTCATCATTGGTTGTCGGGGCAGGTGTCGTCGTTGCTTCAGTTGTTGGAGAAGATGTTGTTGTTGCTTCATTTGTTGTCGGCGAAGGTGTCGTTGCCTCAGTTGTTGGAGTTGGTGTCGTTGTTTCTTCAGTTGTTGTCGGGGAAGGTGTCGTGGTTGCCTCAGTTGGAGCAAGTATTTTTGTTGCCTCAGTTGATGGAGCAGTTGTAGTTGTTTTCTCAGTGTTGTCGGGGCAGGTGTAGTTGTTGTCTCAGATGTTGTAGCAGGTGTCGTTGATTCAGTTGATGGAGCAGGTGTCATCGTTGCTTCAGTTGTTGGAGCAGGTGTCGTTTCTTCAGTTGTTGGAGCAGTTGCACTTGATTCAGTTGTATTCATGGCAGGTGTCATCGTTGTTTCAGTTGCTGGAGAAGATGTCGTTGTTGCATCATTTGTTGTTGGCGAAGGTGTCGTTTTTGCCTCAGTTGTTGGAGCAGGTGACGTTGTTCCTGCAGTTGGTGGAGCAGGTGTTGTTGTTGATTCAGTTGTTGTTGGGGCAGGTGTCGCTGCCTCAGTTGTTGGAGCAGGTGTCGTTGTTGCTTCAGTTGTTGTCGGGGCAGGTGTCATTGTTGCCTCAGTTGATGGAGTAAGTGTCGTCCTTTCTTCAGGTTTTGGAGCAGGTGTTGCCTCAGTTCTTGGAGAAGATGTCAGAGGTATCATTGTTGCCTCAGTTGTTGGAGCTTCTGTCGTTGTTGCTTCAGTTGTTGTTGGCGTAGGTGTCGTTGTTGCCTCAGTTGTTGGAGCATGTGTCGTTTTTCAGTTGTTGGAGCAGTTGTACTTGATTCAGTTGTTGTCATGGCAGGTGTCATCGTTGCTTCAGTTGTTGGAGCAGGTGTCGTTTCTTCAGTTGTCGGAGCACTTGTAGTTGTTACTTCAGTTGTTGTCGGGGCAGGTGTCATCGTTGCTTCAGTTGCTGGAGAAGATGTTGTTGTTGCTTCATTTGTTGTTGGGGCAGGGGTCGTTGTTGACTCAGTTGTCGGAGCTTCTGTCATTGTTGCCTCAGTTGTTGTTGGGGCAGAGGTCGTTGTTGCTTCAGTTGCTGGAGAAGATGTTGTTGTTGATTCGGTTCTTGTTGGGGCAGGTGTCGATGATTCAGTTGTTGTCGGGGCAGGTGTCATCGTTGCTTCAGTTGCTGGAGAAGATGTTGTTGTTGATTCGGTTCTTGTTGGGGCAGGTGTCGATGATTCAGTTGTTGGAGCAGGTGTCGTTTCTTCAGTTGTTGGAGCAGTTGCACTGATTCAGTTGTATTCATGGCAGGTGTCATCGTTGTTTCAGTTGCTGGAGAAGATGTCGTTGATTCAGTTGTTTGACCTGGTCTCGTTTCTTCAGTTGTTGTTGGGGCAGGTATCGCTGCCTCAGTTCTTGGGGCAGGCGTCATTTTTGCTGCAGTTGTTGTTGTGTTTCAGTTGTTGTCGGGGCAGGTGTCGTTGCGTCAGTTGTTGGAGCAGGTGTCATTGTTGCTGCAGTTGGTGGAGCAGGTGTCGTTGTTTCTTCAATTGTTGTCGGGGCAGGTGTCGTTGTTGCCTCAGTTGTTGGAGTAAGTGTCGTCCTTTCTTCAGGTTTTGGAGCAGGTGTTGTCGTTGCCTCAGTTCTTGGAGAAGATGTCACCGGTATCATTGTTGCTGCAGTTGTGGGAGCTGGTGTCATTGTTACTTCAGTTGTTGTTGGGGCAGGGGTCGTTGTTGACTCAGTTGCTGGAGCAGGTGTCGGTGTTTCATCATTGGTTGTCGGGGCAGGTGTCGTCGTTGCTTCAGTTGTTGGAGAAGATGTTGTTGTTGCTTCATTTGTTGTCGGCGAAGGTGTCGTTGCCTCAGTTGTTGGAGTTGGTGTCGTTGTTTCTTCAGTTGTTGTCGGGGAAGGTGTCGTGGTTGCCTCAGTTGGAGCAAGTATTTTGTTGCCTCAGTTGATGGAGCAGTTGTAGTTGTTTTCTCAGTTGTTGTCGGGGCAGGTGTAGTTGTTGTCTCAGATGTTGTAGCAGGTGTCGTTGATTCAGTTGATGGAGCAGGTGTCATCGTTGCTTCAGTTGTTGGAGCAGGTGTCGTTTCTTCAGTTGTTGGAGCAGTTGCACTTGATTCAGTTGTATTCATGGCAGGTGTCATCGTTGTTTCAGTTGCTGGAGAAGATGTCGTTGTTGCGTCATTTGTTGTTGGCGAAGGTGTCGTTTTTGCCTCAGTTGTTGGAGCAGGTGACGTTGTTCCTGCAGTTGGTGGAGCAGGTGTTGTTGTTGATCAGTTGTTGTTGGGGCAGGTGTCGCTGCCTCAGTTGTTGGAGCAGGTGTCGTTGTTGCTTCAGTTGTTGTCGGGGCAGGTGTCATTGTTGCCTCAGTTGATGGAGTAAGTGTCGTCCTTTCTTCAGGTTTTGGAGCAGGTGTTGCCTTAGTTCTTGGAGAAGATGTCAGAGGTATCATTGTTGCTGCAGTTGTTGGAGGTGGTGTCGTTGTTGATTCAGTTGTTGTTGGGGCAGGTGTCGTTGCCTCAGTGGTTGGAGCAAGTGTCGTTTTTGCTTCAGTTCCTGGTGAAGATGTCGTTGTGGCGTCATTTGTTGTTGGCGAAGGTGTCGTTGTTGCCTCAGTTGTTGGAGCTTCTGTCGTTGTTGCTTCAGTTGTTGTTGGTGTAGGTGTCGTTGTTGCCTCAGTTGTTGGAGCATGTGTCGTTTTTTCAGTTGTTGGAGCAGTTGTACTTGATTCAGTTGTTGTCATGGCAGGTGTCATCGTTGCTTCAGTTGTTGGAGCAGGTGTCGTTTCTTCAGTTGTCGGAGCACTTGTAGTTGTACTTCAGTTGTTGTCGGGGCAGGTGTCATCGTTGCTTCAGTTGTGGAGAAGATGTTGTTGTTGCTTCATTTGTTGTTGGGGCAGGGGTCGTTGTTGACTCAGTTGTCGGAGCTTCTGTCATTGTTGCCTCAGTTGTTGTTGGGGCAGAGGTCGTTGTTGCTTCAGTTGCTGGAGAAGATGTTGTTGTTGATTCGGTTCTTGTTGGGGCAGGTGTCGATGATTCAGTTGTTGTCGGGGCAGGTGTCATCGTTGCTTCAGTTGCTGGAGAAGATGTTGTTGTTGATTCGGTTCTTGTTGGGGCAGGTGTCGATGATTCAGTTGTTGGAGCAGGTGTCGTTTCTTCAGTTGTTGGAGCAGTTGCACTTGATTCAGTTGTATTCATGGCAGGTGTCATCGTTGTTTCAGTTGCTGGAGAAGATGTCGTTGTTGCGTCATTTGTTGTTGGCGAAGGTGTCGTTTTTGCCTCAGTTGTTGGAGCAGGTGACGTTGTTCCTGCAGTTGGTGGAGCAGTGTTGTTGTTGATTCAGTTTGTTGGGGCAGGTGTCGCTGCCTCAGTTGTTGGAGCAGGTGTCGTTGTTGCTTCAGTTGTTGTCGGGGCAGGTGTCATTGTTGCCTCAGTTGATGGAGTAAGTGTCGTCCTTTCTTCAGGTTTTGGAGCAGGTGTTGCCTCAGTTCTTGGAGAAGATGTCAGAGGTATCATTGTTGCTGCAGTTGTTGGAGGTGGTGTCGTTGTTGATTCAGATGTTGTTGGGGCAGGTGTCGTTGCCTCAGTGGTTGGAGCAAGTGTCGTTTTTGCTTCAGTTCCTGGTGAAGATGTCGTTGTGGCGTCATTTGTTGTTGGCGAAGGTGTCGTTGTTGCCTCAGTTGTTGGAGCTTCTGTCATTGTTGCCTCAGTTGTTGTTGGGGCAGAGGTCGTTGTTGCTTCAGTTGCTGGAGAAGATGTGTTGTTGATTCGGTTCTTGTTGGGGCAGGTGTCGATGATTCAGTTGTTGTCGGGGCAGGTGTCATCGTTGCTTCAGTTGCTGGAGAAGATGTTGTTGTTGATTCGGTTCTTGTTGGGGCAGGTGTCGATGATTCAGTTGTTGGAGCAGGTGTCGTTTCTTCAGTTGTTGGAGCAGTTGCACTTGATTCAGTTGTATTCATGGCAGGTGTCATCGTTGTTTCAGTTGCTGGAGAAGATGTCGTTGTTGCGTCATTTGTTGTTGGCGAAGGTGTCGTTTTTGCCTCAGTTGTTGGAGCAGGTGACGTTGTTCCTGCAGTTGGTGGAGCAGGTGTTGTTGTTGATTCAGTTGTTGTTGGGGCAGGTGTCGCTGCCTCAGTTGTTGGAGCAGGTGTCGTGTTGCTTCAGTTGTTGTCGGGGCAGGTGTCATTGTTGCCTCAGTTGATGGAGTAAGTGTCGTCCTTTCTTCAGGTTTGGAGCAGGTGTTGCCTCAGTTCTTGGAGAAGATGTCAGAGGTATCATTGTTGCTGCAGTTGTTGGAGGTGGTGTCGTTGTTGATTCAGTTGTTGTTGGGGCAGGTGTCGTTGCCTCAGTGGTTGGAGCAAGTGTCGTTTTTGCTTCAGTTCCTGGTGAAGATGTCGTTGTGGCGTCATTTGTTGTTGGCGAAGGTGTCGTTGTTGCCTCAGTTGTTGGAGCTTCTGTCGTTGTTGCTTCAGTTGTTGTTGGCGTAGGTGTCGTTGTTGCCTCAGTTGTTGGAGCATGTGTCGTTTTTTCAGTTGTTGGAGCAGTTGTACTTGATTCAGTTGTTGTCATGGCAGGTGTCATCGTTGCTTCAGTTGTTGGAGCAGGTGTCGTTTCTTCAGTTGTCGGAGCACTTGTAGTTGTTACTTCAGTTGTTGTCGGGGCAGGTGTCATCGTTGCTTCAGTTGCTGGAGAAGATGTTGTTGTTGCTTCATTGTTGTTGGGGCAGGGGTCGTTGTTGACTCAGTTGTCGGAGCTTCTGTCATTGTTGCCTCAGTTGTTGTTGGGGCAGAGGTCGTTGTTGCTTCAGTTGCTGGAGAAGATGTTGTTGTTGATTCGGTTCTTGTTGGGGCAGGTGTCGATGATTCAGTTGTTGTCGGGGCAGGTGTCATCGTTGCTTCAGTTGCTGGAGAAGATGTTGTTGTTGATTCGGTTCTTGTTGGGGCAGGTGTCGATGATTCAGTTGTTGGAGGGGCAGGTGTCGTTGCCTCAGTGGTTGGAGCAAGTGTCGTTGTTGCCTCAGTTGTTGGAGCAGTTGTCGTTGATTCAGTTTTTGGAGGGTCAGGTGTCGTGCCTCAGTGGTTGGAGCAAGTGTCGTTGTTGCCTCAGTTGTTGGATAAGATGTAGTTGTTTCTTCAGTTGTTGGAGCAGGTGTCGTTTCTTCAGTTGTTGGAGCAGATGACGTCATTGCTTCAATCATTGGAGCAGGTGTTGTTGGTGCTTCAATTGTTGTTGGGGTAGGTGTTTTTGCCTCAGTGGTTGGCGCAGATGTCATTGATTCAGTTGTTGGACCTGGGGTCGTTGTATCTTCAGTTATTGTTGGGGCAGGTGATGTTGCTGTCTCAGTTTTTGGAGCAGGTGTTGTTGTTGCTTCATTTGTTGGAGGTGGTGTCGTCGTTGATTCAGTTGTTGTCGGGGCAGGTGTCGTTGCCTCAGTTGTTGGAGCAGGTGTTGTTGTTTCAGTTGTTGGAGCTGGTGTCGTTGTTACTTCAGTTGTTGTTGGGGCAGAGGTCATTGTTGATTCAGTGTTTGGACCTGGGCTCCTTGTTTCTTCTGTTGTTGTGTGGGCAGGTGATGTTGCTGTCTCAGTTTTGGAGCAGGTGTCGTTTTTGCTTCAGTTGTTGGAGCTGGTGTCGTTGTTGCTTCAGTTGTTGTCGGGGCAGGTGTCGTTGTTGCCTCAGTTGTTGGAGCAGATGACGTCATTGCTTCAATCATTGGAGCAGGTGTTGTTGTTGCTTCAGTTGTTGTTGGGGTAGATGTTATTACCTCAGTTGTTGGCGCAGATGTCGTTGATTCAGTTGATGGACCTGGTCTTGTTGTTTCTTCTGTTGTTGTGTAGGCAGGTGGTGTTGTTGTCTCAGTTGTTGGAGCAGGAGTCGTCATTGCTGCAGTTGTTGTTATCTTTTCAGTTGTTGTCGAGACAGGTGTTGTTGCGTCAGTTGTTGGAGCAGGTATCGTTGTTGCTGTAGTTGTTGGAGGTGGTATCGTTGTTGCCTCAGTTGTTGTTGGGGAAGGTGTTGTTGCCTCAGTTGTTGGAGCAGGTGTCATTGATTCAGTTGTTGTTGGGGCAGGTGTCGTTGCCTCAGTTGTTGGAACAGGTGTCGCTGATTCAGTTGTTGGACCTGGTCTTGTTGTTTCTTCTGTTGTTGTGTGGGCAGGTGGTGTTGTTGTCTCAGTTGCTGGAGCAGGAGTCGTCATTGCTGCAGTTGTTGTTGTTTTTTCAGTTGTTGTCGAGACAGGTGTTGTTGCCTCAGTTGTTGGAGCAGGTGTCGTTGTTGCTTCAGTTGTTGGAGCTGGTGTCGTTGTTGCTTCAGTTGTTGTTGGGGCAGGTGTTGTTGCCTCAGTTGTTGGAGCAGGTGTCATTGATTCAGTTGTTGTTGGGGCAGGTGTCGTTGCCTCAGTTGTTGGAACAGGTGTCGTTGAGTCAGTTGTTGGACCTGGTCTTGTTGTTTCTTCTGTTGTTGTGTGGGCAGGTGGTGTTGTTGTTTCAGTTGTTGGAGCAGGTGTCGTCGTTGCTGCAGTTGTTGTTGTTTTTCAGTTGTTGTCGAGACAGGTGTCGTTGTTGCTTCAGTTGTTAGAGCTGGTGTCGTTGTTACTTCAGTTGTTGTTGGGGCAGGTGTTGTTGCCTCAGTTGTTGGAGCAAGTGTCGTTTCTTCAGTTGCTGGAGCACTTGTAGTTGATTCAGTTGTTGTTGGGGCAGGTGTCATCGTTGCTTCTGTTGCTGGAGAAGATGTCGTTGTTGCTTCATTTGTTGTTGGCGAAGGTGTCGTTGTTGCCTCTGTTGTTGGAGCTTCTGTCGTTGTTGCCTCAGTTGTTGTTGGCGAAGGTGTCGTTGTTGCCTCAGTAGTTGGAGCTGCTGTTGTTGTGGCTTCAGTTGTTGTCGGGGCAGGTGTCGTGGTTGCCTCAGTTGGAGCAGGTATTTTTGTTGCCTCAGTTGTTGGAGCAGTTGTAGTTGTTTCCTCAGTTATTGTCGGGGAAGGTCTAGTTGTTGTCTCAGTTGTTGGAGCAGGTGTCATTGATTCAGTTGTTGTTGGGGCAGGTGTCGTTGCCTCAGTTGTTGGAACAGGTGTCGTTGATTCAGTTATTGGACCTGGTCTTGTTGTTTCTTCTCTTGTTGTGTGGGCAGGTGGTGTTGTTGCCCCAGTTGTTGGAGCAGGTGTCGTTGTTGCTGCAGTTGTTAGAGGTGGTATCGTTGTTGATTCAGTTGTTGTTGGGGCAGGTGTTGTTGCCTCAGTTGTTGGAGAAGGTGTCGTTGATTCAGTTGTTGTCGGGGCAGGCGTCGTAGTTGCCTCAGTCGTTGGAAAATGTGTCGTCGTTGCTTCAATCACCGGAGTAGGTGTCGCTGTTGCGGTAATTGTTGGGGCAGGTTTTGTTATTGAGTCAGTTGTTTTCGGGGCAGGTGTCATTGCCTCAGTTGTTGGAGCAGGTGTTGTTGTTTCAGTTGTTGGAGAAGATGTCGTTGTTGCTTCAGTTGTTGTAGGCGCAGGTGTCGTTGTTGCCTCAGTTGTTGGAGAAGATGTCGTTGTTGCTTCAGTTGTTGAAGCAGGTGTCGTTGTTGCTGCAGTTGTTGGAAAAGGTGTCGTTGTTGCTTCAGTTGTTATCGGGGCAGGTGTCGTTGTTGCCTCAGTTGTCGGAACTCGTGTTGTTGATTCAGTTGTTGTTGGGGAAGGTGTCGTTGCCTCAGTTGTTGGAGCAGGTGTCGTTGATTCAGTTGTTGTCGGGGCAGGTGTCGTTGTTGCCTCAGTCGTTGGAGCAGGTGTCGTTGTTTCAGTTGTTGGAGCAGGTGTCGTTGTTTCTTCAGTTGTTGTCGGGGCAGGTGTCGTCGTTGCCTCAGTTGTTGGAGAAGATGTCGTTGTTGCTTCAGTTGTTGGGGCAGGTGTCGTTGCTTCAGTTGCTGGAGAAGATGTTGTTGTTGCTTCATTTGTTGTCGAGGCAGGTGTCGTTGTTGCCTCAGTTGTTGGAGCAGGTGTCGTTTCTTCAGTTGTTGGAGCAGTTGTACTTGATTCAGTTATTGTCATGGCAGGTGTCATCGTTGCTTCAGTTGTTGGAGCTGGTGTCGTTGTTACTTCAGTCATTGTTGGGGCAGGGGTCGTTGTTGACTCAGTTGTTGGAGCAGGTGTCGTTTCTTCAGTTGTTGGAGCAGTTGTAGTTGATTCAGTTGTTGTCGGGGCAGGTTTCATCGTTGCTTCAGTTGCTGGAGAAGATGTTGTTGTTGCTTCATTTGTTGTTGGCGAAGGTGTCGTTGTTACCTCAGTTGTTGTCGGGGCAGGTGTAGTTGTTGTCTCAGTTGTTGGAGTAGGTGTTGTTGATTCGGTTCTTGTTGGGGCAGGTGTCATCGTTGCTTCAATTGCTGGAGAAGTTGTTGGAGCACTTGTAGTTGATTCAGTTGTTGTCGGGGCAGGTGTCATCGTTGCTTCAGTTGTTGGAGCTGGTGTCGTTGTTACTTCATTTGTTGTCGGGGCAGTTGTTGGAGTAGGTGTTGTTGATTCGGTTCTTGTTGGGGCAGGTGTCATCGTTGCTTCAGTTCCTGGAGTAGATGTCGTTGTTGCTTCATTTTTTGTCGGCGAAGGTGTCGTTGCCTCAGTTGATGGAGTTGCTGTCGTTGCCTCAGTTGTTGTTGGCGAAGGTGTCATTGTTTCCTTAGTTGTTGGAGCTGCAGTTGTTGTGGCTTCAGTTGTTGTTGGGGCAGGTGTCGTGGTTGCCTCAGTTGGAGCAAGTATGTTTGTTGCCTCAGTTGTCGGGGCAGGTGTAGTTGTTGTCTCAGATGTTGGAGCAGGTGTCGTTGATTCAGTTGTTGTCGGGGCAGGTTTCATTGCTTCAGTTGTTGGAGCAGGTGTCATCGTTTCTTCAGTTGTTGGAGCACTTGTAGTTGTTACTTCAGTTGTTGTTGGAGCACTTGTAGTTGTTACTTCAGTTGTTTTTGGGGCAGGGGTCATCGTTGCTTCTGTTGCTGGAGAAGATGTCGTTGTTGCTTCATTTGTTGTTGGCGAAGGTGTCGTTGTTGCCTCTGTTGTTGGAGCTTCTGTCGTTGTTGCCTCAGTTGTTGTTGGCGAAGGTGTCGTTGTTTCCTCAGTAGTTGGAGCTGCTGTTGTTGTGTCTTCAGTTGTTGTCGGGGCAGGTGTCGTGGTTGCCTCAGTTGGAGCAGGTATTTTTGTTGCCTCAGTTGTTGGAGAAGTTGTAGTTGTTTCTTCAGTTGTCGTCGGGGCAGGTTTCATTGCTTCAGTTGTTGGAGCACTTGCAGTTGTTGTTGGGGCAGGTGTCATTGTTGCTTCAGTTGCTGGAGAAGATGTTGTTGTTGCTTCATTTGTTGTTGGGGCAGGGGTCGTTGTTGACTCAGTTGTTGGAGCAGGTGTCGTTTCTTCAGTTGTTGGAGCACTTGTAGTTGATTCAGTTGTTGTCGGGGATGGTGTCATCGTTGCTTCAGTTGCTGGAGCTGGTGTAGTTGTTACTTCAGTTGTTGTTGGGGCAGGGGTCGTTGTTGATTCAGTTGTTGTCGGGGCAGGTGTCGTCGTTGCTTCAGTTCCTGGAGAAGATGTCGTTGTTGCTTCATTTTTTGTCGGCGAAGGTGTCGTTGCCTCAGTTGATGGAGTTGCTGTCGTTGCCTCAGTTGTTGTTGGCGAAGGTGTCGTTTCCTCAGTTGTTGGAGCTGCAGTTGTTGTGGCTTCGGTTGTTGTTGGGGCAGGTGTCGTGGTTGCCTCAGTTGGAGCAAGTATGTTTGTTTCCTCAGTTGTCGGGGCAGGTGTCGTCGTTGCTTCAGTTCCTGGAGAAGATGTCGTTGTTGCTTCATTTTTTGTCGGTGAAGGTGTCGTTGCCTCAGTTGATGGAGTTGCTGTCGTTGCCTCAGTTGTTGTTGGCGAAGGTGTCATTGTTTCCTTAGTTGTTGGAGCTGCAGTTGTTGTGGCTTCAGTTGTTGTTGGGGCAGGTGTCGTGGTTGCCTCAGTTGGAGCAAGTATGTTTGTTTCCTCAGTTGTCGGGGCAGGTGTAGTTGTTGTCTCAGATGTTGGAGCAGGTGTCGTTGATTCAGTTGTTGTCGGGGCAGGATTCATTGCTTCAGTTGTTGGAGCAGGTGTAATCGTTTCTTCAGTTGTTGGAGCACTTGTAGTTTTTACTTCAGTTGTTGTTGGGGCAGGGGTCGTTGTTGATTCAGTTGTTGTCGGGGGAGGTGTCGTCGTTGCTTCAGTTCCTGGAGTAGATGTCGTTGTTGCTTCATTTGTTGTCGGCGAAGGTGTCGTTGCCTCAGTTGTTGGAGTTGCTGTCGTTGCCTCAGTTGTATTTGGCGAAGGTGTCGTTGTTTCCTCAGTTGTTGGAGCTGCAGTTGTTGTGGCTTCAGTTGTTGTTGGGGCAGGTGTCGTGGTTGCCTCAGTTGGAGCAAGTATGTTTGTTGCCTCAGTTGTCGGGGCAGGTGTAGTTGTTGTCTCAGATGTTGGAGCAGGTGTCGTTGATTCAGTTGTTGTTGGGGCAGGGGTCGTTGTTGCTTCAGTTGCTGGAGAAGATGTCGTTGTTGCTTCATTTTTTGTTGGCGAAGGTGTCGTTGTTGCCTCAGTTGTTGGAGCTTCTGTCGTTGTTGCCCCAGTTGTTGTTGGCGAATGTGTCATTGTTGCCTCAGTGGTTGGAGCTGCTGTTGTTGTGGCTTCAGTTGTTGTTGGAGCATGTGTCGTGGTTGCCTCAGTTGGAGCAGGTATTTTTGTTTCCTCAGATGTTGGAGCAGATATAATTGTTTCCTCATTTGTTGTCAGGGCAGGTGTAGTTGTTGTCTCAGATGTTGGAGCAGGTGTCATCGTTTCTTCAGTTGTTGGAGCAGTTGTACTTGATTCAGTTGTTGTCATGGCAGGTGTCATCATTGCTTCAGTTGTTGGAACTGGTGTCGTTGTTGCTTCAGTTGTTGTTGGGGTAGGTGTCGTGGTTGCCTCAGTTGGAGCAGGAATTTTTGTTGCCTCAGTTGTTGGAGCAGTTGTAGTTGTTTCCTCAGTTGTTGTCGGGGCAGGTTTCATTGCCTCAGTTGTTGGAGCAGGTGTCATCGTTGCTTCAGTTGTTGGAGCTGGTGTCGTTGTTACTTCATTTGTTGTTGGCGAAGGTGTCGTTGTTGCCTCAGTTGGTGGAGCTTCTGTCGTTGTTACGTCATTTGTTGTTGGGGCAGGTGTAGTTGTTGTCTCAGTTGTTGGGGTAGGTGTTGTTGATTCGGTTCTTGTTGGGGCAGGTGTCATCGTTGCTTCAGTTGTTGGAACTGGTGTCGTTGTTGCTTCAGTTGTTGTTGGGGCAGGGGTCGTATTTTCATCATTGGTTGTTGGAGCAGTTGTAGTTGTTTCCTTAGTTGTTGTCGGGGCAGGTTTCATTGCCTCAGTTGTTGGAGCAGCTGTAGTTGTTGCCTCAGTTGTTGGAGCTTCTGTCGTTGTTACTTCAGTTGTTGTTGGGGCAGGGGTCGTTGTTGACTCAGTTGTTGAAGAAGATGTCATTGTTGCTTCATTTGTTGTCGGCGAAGGTATCGTTGCCTGAGTTGTTGGAGTTGCTGTTGTTGTTGCTTCAGTTGTTGTCGGGGTAGGTGTCGTGGTTTCCTCAGTTGGAACAGGTATTTTTGTTGCCTCAGTTGTTGGAGCAGTTGTAGTTGTTTCTTCAGTTGTTGTCGGGGCAGGTTTCATTGCCTCAGTTGCTGGAGCAGGTGTCATCGTTGCCTCAGTTGTTGGAGCAGGTGTCATCGTTGCTTCAGTTGTTGGAGCATGTGCCGTTGTTTCTTCAGTTGTTGTCGGGGCAGGTGTCATCGTTGCTTCAGTTGCTTGAGAAGATGTTGTTGTTGCTTCAGTTGTTGTTGGGGCAGGGGTCGTTGTTGACTCAGTTGTTGGAGCAGGTGTCGTTTTTTCAGTTGTTGGAGAACTTGTAGTTGATTCAGTTGTTGTCGGGGCAGGTGTCATCGTTGCTTCAGTTGCTGGAAAGATGTTGTTGTTGCTTCATTTGTTGTTGGGGCAGGGGTCGTTGTTGCCTCAGTTGTTGGAGATTCTGTCGTTGTTGCACCAGTTGTTGTTGGCGAAGGTGTCGTTGTTGCCTCAGTGGTTGGAGCTGCTGTTGTTGTGGCTTCAGTTGTTGTCGGGACAGGTGTCGTGGTTGCCTCAGTTGGAGCAGGCATTTTTGTTTCCTCAGTTGTTTGAGCAGTTGTAGTTGTTTCCACAGTTGTTGTCGGGGCAGGTGTAGTTGTTGTCTCAGATGTTGGAGCAGGTGTCATCGTTACTTCAGTTGTTGTTGGGGCAGGGGTCGTTGTTGCTTCAGTTGCTGGAGAAGATGTCGTTGTTGCGTCATTTGTTGTTGGAGAAGATGTCGTTGTTGCTTCATTTGTTTTTGGGGCAGGGGTCGTTGTTGACTCAGTTGTTGGAGCAGGTGTCGTTTCTTCAGTTGTTGGAGCACTTGTAGTTGATTCAGTTGTTGTCGGGGATGGTGTCATCGTTGCTTCAGTTGCTGGAGAAGATGTCGTTGTTGCTTCATTTGTTGTCGGCGAAGGTGTCGTTGCCTCAGTTGTTGGAGTTTCTGTCGTTGCCTCAGTTGTTGTTGGTGAAGGTGTCGTTGTTTCCTCAGTTGTTGGAGCTGCAATTGTTGTGGCTTCAGTTGTTGGAGCACTTGTAGTTGATTCAGTTGTTGTCGGGGATGGTGTCATCGTTGCTTCAGTTGCTGGAGAAGATGTTGTTTTTGCTTCATGTGTTGTTGGGGCAGGGGTTGTTGTTGACTCAGTTGTTGGAGCAGGGGTCGTTGTTGATTCAGTTGCTGGAGATTCTGTTGTTGTTGCTTCATTTGTTTTTGGCGAAGGTGTCGTTGTTGCCTCAGTGGTTGGAGC